TACGTTTCTTCAAGTTTTCGCTTCTTTCTTGGTTCATCATGTGTTGCCATTAATGCTCGTTTAGTAGTTATGATTTTCCTTTCTTCTTGGTAAATTTCATAAGTAATTTTTTCTTGATCTAGATATTCCTGGAGAGTTTGGGTATCATTGATTTTAAAAATATAGAGAGCAATTTTTTCTCCCTGCTCTTTTTTTAGAATGTTTCTAATGGTGCTATAATTCTTGGGTTCCATGGTGGATTTGATGTAAATTAGTTTCATATTAATATTTTTATATATAGAGGTAATCCTATATTACTCCTGTTATGGTTTATATTCCTCACCTTCTGGTATTAATACTAATATATTAATTTTTACCAAACAGTTTATTGTGGAATTCTTCCACTCTGCCACCCCTGTTTTTTGACATTTGCCAATTTTTATAGTTCTCCGAAGATTTTCTATCAAGATTAAATCAGAACTGTTTGATGTCCAGCCCATAATTACAGGAAAAAATTTTTTGACTTGTTATCCAGCCTTTCTACAAGCATCTCGTAATCTTTCAGCATTTTGGTAATAACCTTCAGGGCAATAGTATAATTTTTGTAGAATAATTTCACGATCAAGATCATGAGCTCTTTGTGAGTCAATATAAATTACAGGTGAATCAGAGATTCGAAACTTTGTTTCTTCAATCATAACTTTTATTATTATAGTGAATAAAAAACATGGACAAATTACGTCAAACTAATCAAGAACTTCATGATGAAATCGATCGATTGGCTCAATCAAACAGAGACTATGGGAACGCCGAACATACAATCTTGAACGGATATAGTTTTCGTGAGGAAAGAATTCGATATCTCGAGGAGGAGTTAGCAAATACAATCGAACTTTCAATACAAGAAAGGGAGGAATTGGAAAAAGAGATAACAGACCTAAAAAAAATCGTCTATCATCTTAAAAAGGAGATCGAACAAAAAGATAAGGAACTTATTACCAGGGAAAATCAATTAGCTGAATTTGATGTAAGAGAAAAGAAACTCAAAACCCGAATTCGAGAAATATCAAAATCTGCAGGTAATACTCCTAAAGCATATACCCAAACAGTAAAGTTAGTAGATGAGAATGAGCGTTTGAAACATGAGATTGATACTTTAAAATATAATCTTAGGGATCGAGACAAAAAATTAGCACAGAAAAAAACTCGTATTACAGATTTACATTGTCAAAACTTTGCATTAGCATTATTAAGATATCTAGATAGAGTAGAGCTTATAAATACTCAAGAAACTTTATCGCAAAGCAATGAACCTTCGGGTCTACAAAATGCTCAGATATGGAATGAATATGAATCAGATGAAAATTCTCAGGATAGTTATACATCTGATCCAGATATGACAACAATAATTGAGTTGGCTGATACTATTGATGGTTATTTGGATAATCCAGGAACAAATAGAACAATTTTATCCAATTAAATAAAAAGAGTAACACGACAGATACGTCGCAAATACAACAATCTTCAAACAGATCTTATAAATGAGCAACAACGAAGATATAATGCTGAAGCAGAACGAGATATACGTCAAACAGAGTTAACACAAACTCAAGGAGATCTCAACTTAAAACTACTGCATATAATAATGAAAGAGTTGTATGCCAGCAGTATTTTTTAGAATTACAACAATGTCGAGATACGTTGGAAAATGATTTACATTTATGTGATATCCAGCTCGATCTTAAGTGGGGAAAGTGGAAAAATAGAACTCGAAATGCAGAACAATTAATTTTAAATTTACAAGGACAAATTTTATTTCTACAGAATAATCCATTAAATATGGCAGAGGCTAGACGATGACCAGTATTAAAATTGATATATCAATCTTTTCAACCAATTCCACAATACTGTATATAGGGCAAATGCCACTTGATGATTATATAAATACATTAGAACAGGCATGCGGTACTCAAATGACGGCTATTGAAAATGCAAATGCGTAAGATGCTGTTAAATGCGATGTTTTAAAAAGTAAAATAGGAGGTAAATTTGCTCCAGTACCATATACGAGTTAATGATCCCTATACTCATGGTAATCCTGGTATAAATACACCTGCTACATTACGAGCATATTTAAATGCGAAATATCAAAAAAAAACAATAGGTAGTCAACAATCTGCAATCCAAAAATTGACTCAAGAAAAATTTCAAATAAATGATACTCCTGATATTTATGAAACTAGAATTCAACCACTATTATTAGGAACCGCTGATAATGATGAACAAGTATTTATATTAGGGTTTCTTAAAAACCAATTACCAGGTGAGCTTTATACATGGATGAAAATTGCAAATCCAGGTGGTATTAATGCATTTTTCACTGAGTTAAAAAATATGTGGCTAGAACGTACTCCAAATTTGAATGAAGGTAAAGTTTACCAACAACCTTCCTACAATCCTAAAATAATAGAAACTCCGGTAATTTCGCAAACACCTGATATTAATATACAAAAAATGATTAATGAAGCATTAGTATTAGCAAAACTAAAACAGAAATCTGAATCTGATGCTGAGATAGAAAAATTAAGAAAGGAAGTTCAATCCCAAAAAACTCAAGCACGAGTTTCGCAAATAGTTGAACCGGTTAGACAACCAAGAGGTTCTCCATCAAATTTAAAAACAGAAGAAGATTACGAAAAATATTATTTAGCTAAATTCTTTAATGATTTAGGTATATATGGTAATAAAGATTTAGATTCAAATTAGCCTAAAAAACCTTTTCAAAGATTTCGTCCACAGCAAGAAGATAACTCTACTAGATTAGAGGAGAAAGTAGATGAAATTAGGCATATGTTATCTCATCTTAATATTAATATAAACAACCAATCCCAAAAACCGATAGCCAAATCAAATCGAACACAACGATATTATTGCAAAGCAATGGGGCACCGCCCTTATCCTTTTCAACCAATAAACTATAACTTTTCAGCTAATGATAAAAACAGTGGAAAATGATATATGGTATGATAATGATTCTGAAAAAAAAAACGCGTACCAGTAAATAAAAACTTATTTCAAAGAAATGACTCTTCGAGTTTACCTGGTAATTCTGCTAACCCTTCTCCTGATCTAGAAACTATCCACCCCGAAACATATGATCAATTATTGTCTAAGCTTTCACTAGCAATGCGAAAAATGTGTCAGGCTTATACAGTTCAGAAAAAAAATCAGATGAGTGGTTTTCATCTCTACAATACCTGAATGCTAGTATTAGTATATAGTATAAACAATTTAACTATTTCCGAATCATTTTTAGATAATGGAAGTGAATTTGGAGCCTTAAATGATGCAACAATTAATGCCCTCGGATGGAAAGCTGACAAGCCATCTGACTTCGATATAAAAGGAAACTCTAAACATATCACCGAATCGTTGGGATGGTTTACGGATGTGCCAGTCAGTATAAAGGATAAGGATGGTAAAACAGTTACAGCTACTGGAAATTTTACACGTATTGATAATGGTGAACCTGAACCAATGTTATGTTTAGGTATGACATGGATTCGAAAAGTTCAAGGTATTCTTGACCCAAATAAAAACCAATTCCGAATGAAGTTACATGGTAAGCCTTACATTATCCCAACATTCAGCAAGAACCCAATAGCAAAGGAATCACCAAAAGATACAGTCATCAAAAACATTGGATTCCGATTTAGCTAGTGAAGAGTTAAAAAAAATGCGTAAATTGTGAAAGTATGACCATTCATGTAAAGGAACTTGAAAAGGCACTATTTACTAGTGTTCAAACCAATTCAGAATTTATCGGATATTATAATGATTTACGTAATAAGTATAAAAAAGAAATCAATTCTATACTTTTAGATTAAAAGTTGATACTTTAGAAATATCAGCACGTGCATCCGCTCTAACTTTTTTAATCTCTTTTTGTAAATCGGCAAGCAATATCAACAGTAAATTCTTTTTTTTCGGCCAAAATATCTTTTATTTCTTCGACTGGCACATTAATGCCATCTCTTATAGAATTCCAAAGGATCTTCAGTTTCTTGCGAAGTTTCAGGTAGTATATAGTATAGTTTCTTTTTTTACTTCTAATGATATCGTGCTTAACTTTCCGGTTAAATTTTTATTAATAGAAGGTTGATTCAAAATACGAACAGGTTTGGATTTTATTTTTTTAATCAATGTCTCAATAGCTGAAGATTTCTTGTTTTTAAAATTATTTAAAATAGAAGAGTTATTATTATCAGTATCAGAAGGTGATGGAGAATTAAGATCTTGTTGTAAACGTTCATTGTGCTCTCATATTTCATAAACACGACGAGCACCAATATTAATATGAAATTTTTCTGCCATTCTTTTTGATGCATTTGGTATCCTCCGCCTTGATTCTCTAATTTCTATAATATCAGATTCAGATAAATGAGTCGCATTGGATCGATAAAATTTTTGATGAATATGGGCAAGCATCTTAAGATAGATATATATGTATTAGAAAAAAAAGTTTCAATAATTTTTCAAAACGTATTGATACCTATTGATGAGCATTATATATGTATTCATATATATTAATACCCGTTGATACCTATTGTTACCTAATGATTGATGCCTATTGATACCTATTGATATAAATATTTAATATATTTTTTGTTATACATATTAATATATGAGAAAAAATACATGGCTAATATATGCACATTACGAGATATTAACTCAAAAGGATATCGATTTGGAAGTACTAGGGAGGTAGAACTTGAAGAAGCTTTACGTGATAGTTGTAAGACTAATTCTGAACTTATTGATGATTTTAAAAACTATCTATATCAGAAGGTGCATAAAAAGTTTATTGATAATATCAAACAGGATAATAATAAGGTACATTTGCAACGTAATCTAAATCAAACTAGTAAAGATAAAGAAGAACTTACCAAGTATATTTATCAACTTATAGATGAGATTAAACGATTAAACTCAGAATTAGATAATTTATCATCTCAGATTAAGCGATCACAGATTTCCAATGTTGAGTACGAAACTAAGAATATTACTCAATTAAGAAAAATAGAATCTCTCCAGTCTATGATTAAGATATTGGAAGGTAAGTTATCTTCAGCCCAGAAAGATGTGATTTCTATTCAAAAGTACTCATCGAAAAAAGAATCCGAGATATTATCCCTCAAGTCTAAAATAGCTGAAGTAGAACATGAGCTAGCTACAAAAGTCAGTTGTCGAGGCAATAGTCATGGGAGAGCGGATAACTACTGTCTCGGTTTGGGATCTAGCTGCGCCGTCGTAGGAGTG